CCGCCATTAGTGTGCTGAAGTCACGTGCACCAATCAGCAAAAGTCCCGAAATGATCAGTCTCTAGTAAAGGGTCTCTAGCCGGCACGAGTTTCAACCGCCGCCACGTGAGAGCCACGCGGTTGAACGATAACTCGTAAACAAGATCACCCCGCACGAGTATAAATAAGGTGCCACAGAACCACCCAGCATCTTCTCTCGCGAATTAGAGTGAGCTCCATATAAGGACCTCTACTCAAGAGTGACAGATCGTATCCAACGAAGTGAGCCCCAAGCCTTCGTATAATTACTTATTTTATGTACTATTAAAATGATACTGAAAATCAGTAATAATAATAATGCAATCACTGTAATATCTTTGATATTAAATTTTCGTATTCCACATATTTCAAAATTATTTTAATATCCTTCCAGTATCCTTCCAGTAATATTTCTAACATATTTCAGAAAGGTGTCAGATTTATTTCAGTTACTTATTAGCAAACACTCGGAAATGTTTGAAACATATTTCGGTATTCTTTCAGAGCACTTTCAGAAAGATTTCAAGTACAAGAATCGCGAACATTTTACCATTGCAGAGATATCTCAGAGATTTTGCAGAAACATTTTACAATGTTTCTGAGATATTTCAATTGCACACGTGATATATTTCTGAAATACTTCTCAAAGACTTCTGTATGGGCATCATCATCATCATCATATTATTATTATTATTATTTTATATCAACATTATTCTATTGTAATATTCAATTTATTAATACGCATCATAAATATCACATATATGTAATAAAAATACAATACGTTACTATATTTTCAATTAAAATAATAGAGGGACTTTTTATATATATAAATATCTAATAAGAACTTTAAATAAATCAAACTTAATTAAGTTAACAAAATATACCAACACATATCAAATTTCAAACTTAACGAATTAAAAAATATTCTAATAATTTATTAGACAAAATTATTTTTTAATAAATATTTAATTCAATTTCAGTTATCACAAGTAAAATTATTTCATTATTTAATTCGTACATTATTATTCGAGTACTTCTTTATAAACATAATTTTTCACTTGATTAAGATTACTATCTTCTAAATATACTTTTAATGAATCCCAAGAACGTACTCTAGATAATGCAACATACAATTGTCCATGATTAAAAATATTTTTTCGAAGATCTACTACAACTTTTTCAAAAGTTTGTCCTTGTGATTTATTTATAGTCATAGCAAATGCTAATTTCACTGGAAATTGTCTCCTTTTGAAAGTGAATGGATATATATTTTCACAATATAAAGTAATACGATTATTATATAAGAAAAATAATTTCTCCAATCTTATTACCTGACAAAATTTCACATCGTAATAAGTTACTTTCTAAATCTAAAATTAATAGTCTAGTACCATTACATAATCATTCACTAATATTAAGATTTCTAAATAAGCATAATAACAGTGTATTTTCTTAAGCGTAACTCATGTGGTGGAAGACTCGTTGGATTTAAAGAATTAAGATATTCTGTCGTAATTGCTTCACATATATCTTCGTTATCGTTAATTTCAAGAATATCCACATTTGTATAAATTCTTTCTGTTGTTTCATCCAATAATTTAACTACTTTCTCGTTTATTTCATCAACATCAGCATTTCTTGCAGATAATATAACGTGATTAGCTATAATGTTATATCTCTTGTGTGTTATTATATCTCCATATGTATCTTTTATTATATCCGAATCAATTTTCGCTATACATCTTTCAGGAATTCGAACATTATCCGAGTAATCATTAACCATATACCATATATCTTTTATCATATCCGAATCAATTTTCGCTATACATCTTTCAGGAATTTGAACATTATCCGAGTAATCATTTAAAGTACCATTTCCTAAATCTAGTAAAAATTGTGCAAATTCTCTTTCTTCTGGTAAAGTTCGTACATTTTCTGTCAATGAAAATATTTTAAATTGTGGCCATAAGGTACTAAATTTTATGGATAAATTTATAATTTCACTACGCGTAGCTCTTTCTTTTATAGGTAATAATTGTCTAAAATCTCCACCGACAAGCACTATTTTCCCATCAAAATATAAATTATTTTGCATTATATCACGTAATGTTCGATCCATTATTTCCAATACATAACGTGGAGCCATAGGAGCTTCGTCTAAAATGAAAATATCCACAAGTTTTAAATTATCAGCTTCTTTAGACTGAACTTTAATGTTTGATGTAGAATCAGCAAAAAGAGGTACCGGTAATCCAAAAACTTTATGAATCGTTCTTCCATTTGGAAGTAATGTCGCAGGAATAGCAGTAAATGCCATCGTATTGATTATTTTTTCTCTACTTTTAAGTAAACAATACAAGGTCGTATAAATGAAAATTTTACCAGATCCACCTGGAGCATCAATATAAAAACAAGTATTACTATTATTGTTAGTAACTACTGCTGCTAAAATTGTGTCAACAATTTCCTTTTGTTTTACATTTAGCTGTTTATATTGTCGCATATCTATCAATGTATCTTCTTGACCTTCTTGTGTATTTTCTATCTCTTGTTCCTCTGTAACTTGTTCTATTTCAAAAAAATTAGTTATATTAGATCCTTCCTTTTCTAGTAAATTAGTAATATAGTGATAATATATCTTTCTTTATTCCTATTATAAGTCTATATCGTCTTATATAATCTTCCGACATATCTCTTTTAAACTCATCCCATAATTTTTTCGGATAAACTGGTTGACAATAAATTAAAATTCGAACGAATAAATTACGAAGTCGCCTTGGCATCATTCAAACTTTGGCTTCATTCATTGCGCGATACCATTCATTATCATCTTCTATGAGTCCTAATGCTAAACACGCAACGGTAAAGGTTTGATGTATTTCATTATTAACTGTCCTTAGTTCTTCAAAATTCTTCGCTCCTTTAACATGTAGTAAAAGTATACGTAGATGAAACAATTCTATCTGAGATGGACTAACGGAATACATTCGACCAATACAATTAAAATATCTCTGACGTTTTTCCCAACGATTAATGGTTTTACCATTAATTGTTACTTTTTTGAATACACAATGAGATGGAATATCACTATAAAAATATTGTTTCGCTTCGTTATCTTGAGCATTTAATTCAAAATAATCCAATAACATCGTCACTCGTTCTACAGCCGATCTTATTGCATCATTATTAACATTCTCATCTATAATTACACTATGTTCATTTGGCAAATGTACCTGTAAACGAAAAATAGCGTGACTCTTTTCTTGTAAAGGTTTG